ATCGTAAGTAAAAATGTTAGTATAAAACTAACAGGCGATGACCACTTCTGTTATGCAGTTTAATTGGACAAACAGCTAAACCCGCTATTTTGACGTATAGAACTAAAATAATTTAGAAAATAATGTTCTTCTCCCCCCACCTTAAAGTCAGCTAATAATTTATCGACACTGAGGATGTGGTGAAAATCGGGGTTGAAAGGGTGAGAACATATAAAATAGCGAAAACAACCCAAAATATGCGCCGTAACAAAAATTGTAGGCGACGCCTATCTATTGAAGTGTACAAATCAGCACCACCACCACCACCGCCACCACAACAACCATCACCACCACCACCACCACCACCACCACCAACACCACCACCAGCACCAGCACCAGCACCACCACCACCACCACCACCACCACCACCACCATCATCATCATCAATCACCATCGTCAGCTTCAGCATCGCCAGTGTCCTAATCGTCACTTTCAACATTGTCATCGAAAGTAAAACGAGATGGTCATGACTGCCTAAGTTACCAGTCGCCGGAAGTCTTAGACATTTCTCAATAACTGCTGAAGATGGCGTGTTTGCGAAGGGCTCGACAACTACGGTTGCTTCAGACATGTCCCTGCCTTCCGTTAGACAACTTGTGCCTGCCAACTCCACTGTTGAGGCGATTACGACTTCTCACCATATTGAGTTTTTTTATAAAGGACACTGTTGCCATCACACTCTCCTACTAGGCCATCTTTTGATTTTGGCTACTAGTATGCATATCTGTCGTTTATTACTCGTCTACTTCATATTCCCTGGTCAACTCCGCATCTGGGCGAATTTCTGTAAAAAACTCCCCCATAAAACCCACTAATTAAAAAAGACGGTTGAACGTACGGGAATATTAATATTATTGCCAACCCCCCTCCTTCTCCTTCCCCTTTTGAAACCCTCATCTTGTGTGGGCAGGCCCTATTTCTCCTCTGGCCCAGAGGCAGTAATCTGCACTGGCCTGACGTATTCTGGGTGCGTCAACAACAAGCTTCAATTTTGTCAGCTATGTCCCCACACCTGCCCCCTCCCCCACTCCCCCCGAAGCTTATTTGCAACACAGGCGACTTTGAGTGTTTCCTCCCCGCGCCCACTAACCCCTATTCACACCTTTTGGTTGTTTCTGGTAGCCCTCAGTGGCCTAATGGGGCGTGTGCTTCACGTTCACTCGTCGTCCACTCATTCATGCCTGTGTGCGCACACACTCATTTCCAGAGGCAGTCATAGAGGGTCTCGGGGAGAGATATATTGTACTGTTCTCCCCCTACTCCCTCCCTCCCTGTTTGCACATAATTGCCATGGCCTGGGGAGGAAGGGGGGTGGGTGTGCGGTAGAGTCTAGTTGCGTCTCCCGGTGCACATTTATTATGGCACGCACCCTCCTTTCCGTTTCTGTTGTTGACTGGCGATTATGACCTCTGTCCTGGCCCTCCGCGCCCCGCCCCGCCCCACCCCATAAACTCCAATTATCACGGACCGTTCGTCGTCAGGGCCGATCCACACCTAGGCGCGGGCGCGTGTTGTGGCTAGGGTGGCGCTTCTTTTCACCCAACGAACTGAACTCATCTCCACCACCTTGAGTGGCGAGACGTTTTGATGTGTTTGGGCCGTAACTGACTGACTGGCGACGACTAATAAGCCAGAAATGGCCATTCCAGTCTCCCTTGCCTCTGTCGGTAATACCATTCTGCCAGTATCGAAACCCCTGGTTTAATCCTAGACCGTTGTGGCTTATAACCCCACAATGGTATTCCTTCGGATACCGAAGCCGGCAGCGATAGGGTGTAGGACCCACAGCTAACTCGAGTTAGCCGGTGAACCGTGTCATACGTTGAATGGTGGTAGAGAAGATTTTACGGGTGGGACAATACACAGGACAGAGAGCAAGAAGACAGAAAATATATAAATTTTTTACCGAAAGTCATATCGTACGTTGTCATTTGGGGAAGAAGTTGAGCGCGATAATTAAAAAATAAACAAAATGCAATTTTCAAAAAAAACGCACTTTTAACAAATCGCCGCTGATAAGTTTACATTTAGTCAAAAAGAGAAGGAAATTTCAAACACTGGAAATGGTGAATAATAAGTGACGTTTACAGTCACGCTGGATTTTTGGGTATATCTTCGGAGTTGCCACCTCCTTGGGGGTCCAACGCCTTATCGTTACTCCGAAACCCTTTGAATCACCGTGGCTTCAGTGTTGTTTTTGGGCCGGGAATAACTCCGCTCAACACTATCAACTTTCCATAATGCTAATCAAGGCGCGCGAAGCATAACTCTTCGGTTGTGCAAAAATCACCCTAATTAATGGCCCACCGGAAAGCTGTTGCGTGG